CTCTCTCTCTCTCTCTCTCTCTCGCCTTCTCTTTAATCGCCCATCACATCTGTCCAGTACCCCAAGCCCTGGTGCGTCAGTCTCAAAGTCTCAATGTATCTGTCTCAGTACTACATGGCATGTCAAGTTATGACGTGTAATCCAAGCCCTTCTAACTAAAGATCGCCAAGTCCTTCAACTAAATTCCATATTATACATATGTGCCCTGCCCCAAAATGCCCTGTGCCCATATGCCTTATAAATGCCTAGTGCCCGAATGTACTGTGTCCCATAGCCCTGAGCCTAAATACACCATGATAGTAAAATATATCCAAATGCCCCTTTTCTTCCACGTAAAGTTTCTGAATGACTTGGGCCGAGGTCAGAATTATTAATTATGCCCCGAACCCTGATGCCTGGTGCTTAAATGCCAATACCAAAATGACTTCTTCTTTCTTCAAGCCTAATGTATGAATGCCCTGAGCCTAAATGCCATTTACCAAAATGCCTAGTACATGAATGCCCTGTGCCCTGAGCCTAAATTCCATACACCAAAATGCTAGAGCTGGGCATAGAATCAATTCCGGAACCGATTCCCACGAGTAATGCAAATGAAGAAAAGTTCCCTTTCACGAGACCCAACGGTTGCCAGTAACTTTAATCATTAAAATCTTCTTTTTAAAAAGAATTTATTTTTGAAAAATAAAAGTTGATGCTTCTGAGTTTTCCGAAATCAAGGTTATCCTAAATCCTGAAGATGTTCGGAGCCAACCAGGTAACCACCGGAAGAATTCACGTCATTAGAAAGTAAGTAATTGGGTTCGGAGTCGAGTCCTACGATTCCTAGTTTTCAATAATCGGGAACCTAGCCGCCCAGCAGTACAAAATGCCTAGTGCATGAATGCCCTGTGCCCTGAGCCTAAATGCCATTTACCAAAATGCCTAGAGCATGAATGCCCTGTGGCCTGTGCTTACATGCCATTTACCAAAACGCCTAGTGCATGAATGCCCTGAGCTTAAATGCCATTTACCAAAACGCCTAGTGCATGAATGCCCTATGCCCTGAGCCTAAATGCCATTTCCCAAAACGCCTATTGCATGAATGCCCTGTGGCAAAACACCATAAAAATATACCCGAAATGTCTCCTTTCTTCCACACCCAGTGCCTGAATGCCCTGTGTTTCAATCAATGCACCATCCAAGATATGAACTAAAGACATGACTCATGTAGAAAAGAAGCTCTAACCAAGACCAGAGAGGGTTTACCAAGACGATTCAGCTATAGAAATCAATAGAGGGTTTTTTTTAAAAAGGAAAATAATATAATGTACAGGAAGCACCTTCCGCCTCCTTGCCACACACACACACACACACACACACACACACACACACACACACACACACACACACACAATAAA